GAGTTCGCAAGTAAGACTCTTAGGGTACTGTTCAACTTATACAACTCCAAGCATTCAGTGATCCATGTATGTGGCATCGAGTCATAGGCTTTCTTGTAATCAATCCAGGCTGTGCACAGGTTGGTATGTCGGGACCTGCAGTCTTGTGCGACTGTTCTGTCAACCAGGAGCTGATGTTTGGCCCCTCTGGTATCTCTACCAATGCCCTTCTGTGCTTCGCTCATGTATTGATCCATGTGACTACTTATCTTCGCCGCAATGATGCCTGACATGAGCTTCCATGTTGTGGAGAGACAGGTTATTGGCCGATAGTTGGATGGGACTGCACCCTTTGAGGGATCCTTCATGATCAGGATCGTTGGCCCTTCGGTTAGCCATCCTGAGTGAGTCCCATCCCTCAGCAACTGATTCATTTGTGCTGCTAGGCGCTCATGGAATGCTGTGAGTCTCTTTAGCCAGTCAGTGTGGACAATGTTCGGGGCTGGTGCTGCCAGTTTTTCATATCTGAGACTCTTTCCTGTATGTCTGCCACTGTTATGGTCACTGGGTTCTGTTCAGGGAGGTTGCGAAGCTCCTCTCTCAAATATGACAAACATTTTTATTAATGACATGTTAGACTGTGTTCCCACTGCTCTCACTCACTCAGCACACAGCAGATTTACAAAGCACATTTATAAAGAAAAAAAAAATCTAACCTGGGCTGAATTGGCATTTTGCACTGTCATCATCAAACTTGAAAAGGCAAATTTGGAAGAGGAAGAAAAATCCATCAAAAACAGACAAAATGGTGATATGGTGGTAGCATTACAGACAGCACCATGTCATCGTCACACATCGTCAGAACATGCTTTCTGCTGAAGATGCCCATTAACTTTCATTTTTCCTGGTTTTTGGCCCAACATGGTGTCTTTAATGTATCTTACAAACAAAACGTTATCCCTGTGGAGGGCTTGATCTCTGTTTATAATGGCTTTTGTCGTGGCTTGTTAATTACCAGGGTAACGCTAACTCGTTCCGTCCGTATTATTCCGGATATTTAAAAAAAAAAAAAAAAAAAACAACGGCAGACTGCTCAAACAGGTTGAAAATGAGCAAAAATCGTTGGTAATGTTTGACAGCACATCAGTTGGAGAGTCGCGGAGCTGTCCAGCGTTTGCGCTGTCCAATTGCCATCTCACCAATCAACTCAATACAGACAGGAAAAAAAGTGCGCTGATGAGTGAATGAGAATATCTCCGCACAATTGAAGCACTTTATCACGACGTACATTAATAAGTGTCGATAGCTAACGCGTTGTGCAATTCAACTGCGTTCTTCAAGCTCAAAGCTGCTTCGCGTCGTCATTGCGCAACGCACAAATGATTATCCTGATTTGTGCGTATGCAGGTTTCGTTCAATTTCGGGGCCGTTATAGCTGTTGCTCATCATGGCGTGCATGCGTGCATATGCGCGCGTGTTCATGGTTGCGCAACCGTGTGCATGCGTATGTGTATGCTTGCACGTTCGCGATCGGGTCAATCGTGGGAGGTTGATCGCTTTGAAAGTCGATCTTTGGTGAAAAAAGGTTGTGCATCCCTGTTCTAAATTATGCAGACTATCATTTAGATAAGGGGTGCCGAAGTCCAGTCCACGAGAGCACCTATTCAGCCTATTACCCTGCGGCAAGACGGCTGATTTAAATGCTCATGATCGTTTTCAGGCTTCGACAAAGTGTGCCGATGAGGCAATCATCACTCATTTTTCCTATTCTGTTTACTATTTACATGATTAGGAATTTATACAGATGTAACTTCACCATTAGGGAAGCAAAAGTAATCTGCCGTGTTATATAAATGTGAGATGGGAATGGGATTTAATAGGTTTAATCAGTTTGAGCACTATATGTCGAGCTTGTTTTATTGCTGCTGCCGCTGTAAATGGGGATTGCTTTTTTTTTTTTGCCATGGTCATTTTTGTTTTTTTTTAATGCATGCGTGCTGTTGTGTGGCTTCTTGTATTCATGAGATGTTTTGTTTTGTTCTGCTCAACAGCAAACATAAATCATTAAAGACAAGAAGAAAACAAAGAATCAATTCAATGTAAATCTGGACTTCTTTTTTTCCATTTAAGATTGGAAATGCTGATCTTTAGAAGCTGATGGACATTACTGGAACATATATTGCATGACAAAAGATGAGCTTTGGTGGAAGGGTGTCACAAGGAAACAACCACTACATTTTGATTCAAATCTGCACTGTAATTCTTGGACGTGTTATATTTAGCAATGGAAATGCTAATTCATATAAGATGAGGGACATTACTGCAACAGACAGACCAAAGGTTTACCTTTGGTGAAAGACCCGGTACCCCCAACTAAGTTATGTTCAAAAATTAAAACGGGTCAGCAACTAAAGGATACCAGTTTGATACACACTTATGAAATAAGACATATGCCAAAATTACCATTATCGTCTTATTCATCAATTACATCAATGTATGTGAAAACAACGATCATATTAATGATTTCACACTATAATAAATAAATAAATAAATACCATATGCAACACTCTAGATGACTTCTACAACCTGCTTGTATAAAATGTCCCATCACAGGTGGGCTATTTTTGGTCCGTGCGTTACTCATGTGGTCGCAGGCACATTGTCAGTGATCCCTGCCTTACAACATTCTTCTTTTTAAATGTACCTCTTTGCCAAGGTCCTCTCTGATGACCTGCTCGATCTCTTCCATGCTGCTTTGAGGAGCTTGACTATGGAGTACTTTCAGCGTGGATGTGTACTCTTCCGGAAGGAGATAATCCAGTGCACCAAGGTGCTGTCCGACCTTGATAAAGGTACCACGATTTGCACAGCACAGATCTCGAAGACGCTCTGCTGAACGTCGATGTACCTATAAGTGGTGAGGAAAACAGAGTATGTATTTATGTACAGTCAAACCTAGGTTTTTGAACGTCTTGGTTCTTGACCAATTTGGTTTTTGACCCAAAAATTTCGAGTTTTTTATGCCTCGGATGACGAACAAATTTCGGTTCTCGAACAAACTGATGTTAAGAGGCGACACAGCCCCCCCCCAAAAAAAAACTAACTGATGATGTTGTGCTCACAAATGAAAACCCCGCAAAAGACTGAAGCCACAATAATGAAACCACATAGTCGCAAGGGAAGATTGTAAATCAAATCACCCCCCCCCCCAAAAAAAGGTTTCAAAATATATTCCACTACCGCCATTCTTACAATGAGTGCAGTTGATTTGAGCGGCGCTTTTAGACAAACTCCAAGCTGCCAGCATGTGTCGCTAGGTGGTCACAAGCGGAACACGGAAGCAGTTAATTAAGTCAAATTGTGCGAGATGATGTTTCACCTTCAAGAGGTGTTTTAGACGCCTAAGCACGGAAGACAAAAGATGTGTAAATTTGTTGTTGTTAGAGGTGGGGTAAATTAAACCCCCCAAATTAAGAAAAAAACAAAACAAAAAAGATAAAAACCCAAACATTTTTTTCTTTTTCTATTAAAAATGGGAGAAAATGGGAATGGGAGAAACGCCCAAAACAAAAACGCCACCCCCAAAAAATATACTGAAAGATATTTATATATTTTTTAAATCACATTTTGAAAAAAAGTCTGCCAATATATGAATCCCCGCGTTCTGAGCGGCGAGTATACAAGAGTCCACTGTGTTGCAAATTGATATCTCTCCAAATATTGGTTATCAGCCTCCTTGACACTATTAATAAGTGTCAGGATCAGGATCAATTTTTTTTTTTTTAAACAGTACACACACACACACACACACACACACACACACACATACATACATACATATTGGTCTATCACTAAGTACATTGAGAGACAGATAATATATATGGTGCCCCCCAGTCTGACTGACCATCTGATAATGATTATGGAGAGTTCCTCTCCTGAGACAAGAGCAAATAAAAAGCCGTGAAATTGGCTCCGGTGAACCGTTGCAACCCACCACATTGACATTCTGCATGTTCTTCAGTCAACACCAAAACAGAAAGTGAAAGATTCATGAGAAAAATTGTTCATTTTTACGGAACACAAATATATGTACAGTATGGATGTTTTTTTTCCCATTGTGCAACTTTGTGCTTAGTTTTGAGCATTCACACACGATTACAATAATATAATAAAACAGTTCCCGTCTGTCTTTGAACGGACATGTCACTTGACTCAGTCAAGTCTCTATTTCTGGCATAATATCTTTTGAAAGCAATCTGGAAGCAAGGCTCACATCCCTTTTCCTCCTGCTTGGAGCCTAATCATTTGATTCATCATCACTCCTCTCTTCCAAGCAATCAGTATGTTTTGTTCCACAGAGGCCGGCTCACAGCTCAATAATGACATCACCATGGAAATAATGTTTTCTGAAAGCTTGAAATGACTCTATTCTGGCATAGGCTGACGCTAGCCACCACGCACCAAAAATTCATGCGTCATAGAATCCCCAAACTGGTAAACAAATAAAGCAGATTGGATACATTTGTGGAATGACAAGCATGAAAACAAATGATAGGACTGTAAATTAGCACTGTAAATTAGCACAAATAAACAACATTTAACAGTGTTTTAGATTTTAGCTTTTCACACTCACAAAAAGCATTAAGGAAAAATAATGTATGTGCTGAAAGTCAATGTGTGTGTTTGCAAAAGTTCCAGTGTTGTGAAAGCACCTTTCATGCACCAAGCACTTTGCTTGCAGCAATTACCCTGCCCTCCCTGTGTGTGTCGTCAGCGGTTCAATGAAACCTCAGTTGGATTTAATTGTAAAACTAAACACAAAACAACATGAAGGATACTGTGTACATGGGATATTTAAGACACATCTTTTAAAAACTTTCTTATTTTAGGGACTCACAGGGAACGAGGAATCCAGCGGTAACCCTGAAGTTATGAGACAATTTATGAATCATTAAAATCATTTCAATTTCAAAAGCCATACAGTTACATGTAAATGATCATGAAAAGCCCATTCAGTAAATGTTGGTTTCAAAACCAGAATGCTGCTGCTCGCCTCTTCAGTGGTACTCGTAAGAGGGAGCACATAACTCCTACTCTGGCATCCCTTCACTGGCTCCCTATACATTTTAGAGTTCTTTTCAAGATCCTATTTGTTTTCAAATCTTTAAATGACCTCGCACCACCTTAACTCGCTGAGCTCATCCGCCCCTACACAACTGCTCAACGCCTCAGGTCTGCGGACCAGACATTATTAGAAGTACCAAGAACTAAACGGAGGCTCAGAGGGGATCGAGCCTTTTCCGTTGCTGGTCCCTCTCTCTGGAATGACCTCCCACTGAACATTCGGCAAGCCCCCTCGCTGCCCATCTTCAAAACCCGCCTCAAAACTCACTTGTATTCTTTGGCATTTGACTCAGCATAACTCAGATTTTATCTTAGTTTTACTGTCTGGTGCCTTCAACCATCTTTGTGACTGATTTATTGCTTTATTGTTGTATATATGTTAGTTGCTCCATGTACAGCACTTTGTATGCAGCGATGGCTGTTTGAAAGTGCTCTATAAATACAGTTGAGTTGAGAATCTATGCCTATATTCGCTGGCAATGCAAGGCAAGGCATTTTTATTTATATGGCACATTTCAAACACAAGTCAACTCAATGTGCTTCACACAAGCAGAGCCAAAACAACTACAGGTATTGACAAGTAACAGTGAATAACATTCAAAAGCAAAGCAGAGAAAAGTAGCTTACAAAAAAAAATATTAGAACGGACATTTAAATACATCAACAGAAAACTTTAAAAACATTTTAAAGTAAAAAAAAAAGAAATAAAAGTGGGTTTCTAAAATATCGAAAAAATATAAACGTATATTCGCTGGTGACATCTTAGTAACTGTGGTAAACCAATTCTGAATGAATCACAATTCAAAGAACAGACAACAACAATTAATAACAGGATGGGCAAAAATAATTACATCCTGTTTAAAAAGAATCATTTTGTAAGAGAGAGGGTGGCTCCTGGATGTTAAACAGTGTGTGCAGCAAATAGAGGAGACAACAATAGATATTCAGTACTGACTTCTTGAAAAGCGAAGAGTCAAAGGTGAGCTCATTGTATGCTGTTTGGGCAGCTGTTCCTATATTGAGAGCACAGCTGCAGTAAATGATTTCTGTTGCAACACCGGGATTTAATGGCGAGGATTAGAAGACTGTGAACAAGCCCCATTTTATGATTAGGGTGCCCATGATTAGGTCGTTTTTCGGCTCACTGAGGCAAGTCGGACTGCCAAGCACAAAAAAAGGGGGTGGGGAATGGCACGCATGCTTAGTGTTTGTGCGCATGTTTCTAAGTCCTATAGCAATACAGTTTACCAGCGGTGCTAAAATGGGGTAGATTACATTCGCTCAAATTCGTTGATAGTGGAAAAATTTTTTAAAAAACACATATACAGGTACATACATATACCTGTATATATATATATATATATATATATATATATATATAGTCTCACCCCTCGGGTGGTGTCCATCCCTCATTCAGCTCGGGTCCTCTACCAGAGGCCAGGAAGCTTGAGGGTTCGGCGCAGTATCCTTGCTGTTCCCAGCACTGCACATTTCTGGACTGAGATGTCCGATGTTGTTCCCGGGATCTTTTG